CTACTGCATAATCCCCACTCATGCTTTTTGTGGTCCTGGCCATAAACCCGAGACCAAATAGGTCTCGTCGGTGTTTTTAAAATTTGGTTCAAATTGACCGGCCAGATCGTTACAACCCAGTTACGCACCAGATTCGTCGATTTGCTTCATCACTTTTTACGATTTGAAGGTTTCTCATCATGCGCCCGGAAAGAAGCCCCCTTTTCGCCCTCTCTTCTTCTGGTTTTGTCCGCGAAATTTGAGTCTTAACGATCTGGTCTCGCCTCAGCCTCATATGTTTTCCCAAAAAGAGGATTAACTCCTGGTAACTGTGTTTTTCCAGGTCGGTTTATGCGAGGTCAAGCCTACATCGTATATTGCCCATTATTCATGATATTTTCCTTCTTTTGCGCGATCTCTATAAGCCGTGAATCCCCACAGTCATGGATTATTCACATGACGGCATGCCACCCACTAGTCGGGAATAACCATTGTTATTATTAAATTTACCGTAGTTCACGGTAAGTCAGAAGAACACGTAAGTACGGACACGGGTGCGTTGAGTACACGCGGCCAAATTGGCCCGCTTCCATGGCAGGTAAGCAAACAACCGAGTCACATATCCAGTCGACCCTCAGCGCTCACGCAAATCAGCCAATCGGACACGCATCCAATCAACCACTCAAGTCGCACGCCCGATCGATGGTGGAACGACCAATGGACACGCACGCGCGCAAACTCTCTGACACACAGAAGCAGCTACTACAATATTAATAATATTCTGTGTGGTAGCAAAAGTCTGGCTTAGAAACCCTGATTTTACCCCTTAGCTTCCCTCACAGATAATTTGTGACCACCCGAATACCAAAGCGCTTTCATAAGGTGCACAAGGATTTTACTGGTTCCTAAAATGTTTTATAAACTGGGACAAGCAGCTGGTATCAAGGAAGTTCGAGATTTTTGTTGAAGCTGGAAAGAACAGAGGTGAAATGCTGCGTAGCATATTTAACTAGAGCAGCCTGCGGCTGAAACGGGAGGAGTGCAATTCCATGCACTGGGTTACTGTTGGGTTGACGCGTTCTCAGAGCCTATCTCCATCGGACGTTCACCGCAAAAATACGTTGCCTGTGTTGGGTGCTCAAAAACAATGGTTTACGTGAAACGCAATCAAAAGAATCTTCAGGATGATTACGTAGTAGCTCAGAAAATGCAGAACGAAACCAGGCCAATAGACTTTGTATTTTCCGGGGTCGAACTAAAACCGCCTAATCATAAGTGAATCATGGTTACTAATGAACTGACCGCCACTCGACAAAAGCGAACTTCTCCCATGGGAAAATTCCCATAAATAAATCAATAATGAGGTGACCATCAAATGAAATGCACTATCTGTGATCTGTTCCATGTAGGCGTAAGTGTGAATGGGTGCGCAGACTGAACGCAACATAGCGGATGCCGGAATTAATAAGCTTGAATTTTTCAAGAGGGTACAAGGGAGGCCATGATTTCTACTCGGTTAACACCGGGATCTTCACGGATTCACGGATTCAC